CAATTTCCACGCTTTTCTTTGCTCTTCTTTGGCAATCTGCTCCATGTCTTTGTCGTATATGTAGTCTTGGCACACAAAGCAATATATTCCACCGTACAAAAGGTCTATAGCTGAATGAGAGAAGAACAACACAGGAACCGATTAGAGGCCTTTTAGAGAAGTTGGCGTTCGCATCTTCCCGTATCTGTCCTGTAAATATGGATGAGGCATTAAGGAAGCATTGCAGCAAATCTGCCTCCTTTAATAAGTGATGGGAATAATAATTAGAGTGCAGCACAGAAAACATCCATCGCTGCTTGTGCCACAATATCGTGTCCTCTGTGAAATGTCATAGCGAGCATTGCAATATCAACGCAGACCCGTAATTGTGAATGAGGAGTATTATTTATGAATTATCGTTCTCGAATGCTCATGCCTCCATCTCTCCGAGTCTGCAGCGGCAGTACCTGTTTTTCAGTTCCCATGGCAACCCAATGATGGTCTGTTTCACACAGACGCACTAAATGTTCGCAGGTGGAGCGCAGCAGCGGGGACGGATGTCTATTTGTGACCCGACACCAATGCACAGCCTGGCACAAGCCGCCGACAGGTGCTCGGGAGACTATGAGGCTTTTAGTGGCTTTCAGTGCAGAGAGACTAGCGGCTGAATTTTCGCAAGGCTATTTTCAGTTGTTGTAAAGAGACAGAAGTCTCAATGCCCAACTGGCAGGACTTTAACAATCAGCACAGGCATGTGGTAAATCAAAGTTATGATTATGGTTTATTAGTGCAAGCCAAAAAAATGCTTGCATTAAAATGCAACAGGTATAACAACATTAGCCAACAATATAATGTACTAATGACCACAATCCAATTAAATCCTACTGGATAAACACCATTTTTTCCCTTTTTTATTAAACACCTTTTATTTTCCTCTAAAATATTTCTGTTGCACTCTCAAATGCATCACAGAAATTAAATGCATTCTGTCTTCACAAAATGAAGAGGGTTGATATTGTTATGATAGTACATTCCTATTATTAAGCTATAATCCTGTTCATTACCATTCCTGATGCATTAGATTCATTAAATGTAAAACATTCTTTAACGGTAACATTGTACCACTCAATGCACTTTTGGTTGTTAACAAATGGCTATGAACAACAATATTTTACAGAATTTATTTATCTAGGTTAATGTTAATTTATAAATATACCATTGTTCAATGTTTGTTAACCATGTTAAAAATGTATTTAAAATTAACATGAACCTAGATTAATAAATGCTATTAAAGTTATCGTTATTATTAAAAAGTAACATGTGCATTATGTAAAATATGTAAATAAACCTTTATATATATTTTTGTAAAGTGTTACAATTTTTAATAAAAAAAAAATAATTAAGAATACTTTTTTCCTCATTTTTGTCGTCACAATTTTGACTCTGGCATTTGCAAAAATAAGTGTAATTATTAACTCTGCTTGCTAAAGCGTATAATTAGTTAACTTCGGGCTTTAGAATTGGGATTTCTCTGCTAAAACAACTGATGGATAGAACCAGGACTACATTGTTTCTTTTCATTTGGGTGCACATCATAATATGGAAGAAAAGGTCTGTCAATACATCCGTCTTATTTCAACTTTGACACTATTTTAAAGTGTTGCATTTTCATCTATTTTTTATGACAGTGGTCATGCATGATGGCTTTTAACACTATTTGTATCAGACAAGCAGAAAAGAGAGAAGTTGCACAAGAAAACGAGGCGGGGTTGCATGATGCACACACACACAGGCATCAGATGAATAAACCAAAAGCATAGCAGGCCTTCAGGTAACCATGGGAACCAGCGCAGGAAAAAGAGGAAAGAACACCGAGATCAAGCCTGACAAGAGTGAGCCGACAAAACAGAGAAGACAAAAAAACTAAACGCCATCTAAATAAACCTGAACAACAGAGATGCACAAAACGAAGCCGGCTCAATCAGACTTAATTACTCCCCGTTCGTCTTTGGAGAATAATCACAGCTTTCCTCCTCGGGAGCTGCGCTCATTCAAAGACATCCCTTGTACACAGGCTAACCTAATTAAATGTTCAATCAAACCCCGAGGGGAACTCGACACACACGAGCGATGCCTCGATGCCACCTGGGAATACAGCGAAACCCGAGCGATCGGTGATGCTGCAGATGCATTATGACGCCTGCGGCACGAGAAACCATAAACCATCACCTGGAGCCAAACAAACCACACTGGATCAGCAGCAAGGGACTTCATTTGTTCATCAAGAGACATAAAAGATGCTTAAACAGGCGACAACGTCCAACAGCAGCACATTATGAGTCAGCAGGGACGATTCGAGCCACTCAGGCCATCTGTGAATGATGCATTACAGAAAGAGACTGCCTTTCGAAAATAATATACATTTCTGTTGGAATCAGAAGTAACTCACAAGTCGATATTTTGCATGTCTGTTGTAGGCTTGCCGCGATAGACGGTGCTGACGGTGATACCGTTGTTCAGCTGCAACACCAGTTACGTCACTTGCCCACCGCTGCACCGACCCCCACCGTCGTTTTGATTATTTTATAGTAATAAAAATAATTTAGTTAAAACTGAACAGACGAGCGTGGCGAGAGACAGACGAGAAGAGCGCGGCGAGAGACAGACGAAGAAGAGCGCGGCGAGAGACGGACGAAGAAGAGCGCGGCGAGAGACAGACGAGAAGAGCGCGGCGAGAGACAGACGAAGAAGAGCGCGGCGAGAGACGGACGGAGAAGCGCGCGGCGAGAGACGGACGAAGAAGAGCGCGGCGAGAGACGGACG